TATTATTATAACCCTTTTCTTTTAAAAATTATTTTATAAATTAAATTTTAACATTTTAAATAAATTATATTAATTAACTTAATATATTTATTCATCTTAAATCTATGATATAAAATTCAAAAAATGTATTTATTCTTGTTTTATATCATAATATTTTCATATCAAATTTAAAATCAAATATTAGTATGTTATTTTTTATCATTGTTAATTTATAAAAATAAAAAATTTAAAATGACAATTTTTAATAATATTTATTTTTTACCAAATATTCTTTACATTACTTAGATAACTAAAAAATTATCTACAGAAAAAATTTTGTCGGTAATATTATGTAGATAACTAATTATGTAGGTAATATTCCGTAGATAACTAATTCTATAAGTAATATTCTGTAGATAACTTAACATTATCTACGAAAAAAATTTTGTAGGTAATATTCCGTAGATAACTAATTTCGTAGGTAATATTTCTTAGATAACTAATTCCATTGGTAATATTCCGTTGATAACTAAACATTATCTACGAAAAAAATTACATAGGTAATATTCCGTAGATAACTAATTTCGTAGGTAATATTTCGTACATAACTAATTCCATAGATAATATTCCGTAGATAACTAAACATTATTTACGAAAAAAAATTTGTAAGTAATATTCCGTAGATAACTAATTTCGTAAGTAATATTACGTAGATAACTAAACATTGTGTACGGAAAAAATTCTGTAAGTAATATTCTGTAGATAACTAAAAATTATCTGTAAAAAAAGATTTCGTAAGTAACATTTCAGAGATAATAATATACCACTAAAGTGTAACGACCCGGCTGGTCACTACACAAGAAAATTACTAGTTAAATTAAAATAATTCCACGCTAATTGATCTACTCACACATTGATGATCTTTATCAGGTGCTTATATAGCGTTGCTATAGATTTTTGGGAGCATTTTTTGTTCCTATTTTTAGATAATAAAATAAAATGTCATACTATTTTTATTTTACAACAGAAAATGAACTTCTAAGTTGTTTTCTCAAACCAAATTAATTTTGATTGTTATGGAAAGGTTATAATTAACTATTTAGTTTAGTTTTCTTTTTACGTGTTACAAGTAAAAACTATCGCCGGCTTGCTAATTACTAATGACTAATTTCGTTGGACAAATCTAACTGATTATGTTTGATAGAATTTTCCTTCTCGAATTTATTATTTTCTATGATGAAATTCAAGCCCAATATAGCTCCACTCGTACTAAAATAATGTTGATTATTTGGTTCAGTTTATTTTTAAGAAATAATCATTTCTTGTAGTAAAAACCACTTTTACTCTGAAATTATCTCAATCAAACGAGCGCGACATAAAATCAGCTTTTCTTTTTCTACGTTACTCAATGTTTTAGATATATTCTCTGTTTTTTTTTTTTTGTGATAAGAATTTTCTCTCTTAAAATAAGCATCGTCATGTTTGCTAATTGCTGGTCTTTGGTATATGAACCTTCACCAGAGTCTACTATGTAGCTATTAATTATTTAAGCTGTTTAGAAGAATTAGCACTTATCATGATATCAAAACGCTTCTGTATAAGAGGAAGTAATTAAGTTTGGTACTT